TTGGGAAACCCTAAACCCTAAATTGTAGTTTCCATTTTCTTCTCCATTATCCCTATATAACCCTAAACCCTAAACCCTTAACCCTCAGTGTACCCATATTATGGTATCTTGGTTTACATTCCTTACCGGCGACCCATTGTCAGCGAGGCTCACGGCTCACGGATGAGTTGCGTGTCGCATCGAAAGCACTTAAGTTAACCTACTTACCATGGAGCCCCATTTTAGCCGAATATAGCCACTTTTAGTAGAGGACAGAAGTCTACATGGAACCCCTTTCCAGGTGCCATGTAAGTTTTGGGGGGACTGCATGTTGAATTAATTGAAGGATTTGGCTTGGGTGATGCGTTCTTGCTGTTGCTAACACCCCTACTTCCTTGATCCGTCTTAGCCGATTTCCAATGCCAGCACCCAGCTCTGTGTCATGGTGCTTACCCAAGACCGACGGGCATACAATCACCCTGGGGCCTGTGCTCAGACCTTTCTTCTAAACCCTAAACCCTTCATTCTCCAAAGCAGAGATCCTGGGCCTGCATGCTAACCCCTGAGCCCTCAACCCTTTTTACTCAGAGGGCTTTGGTATCCCGACCCCAAAGCTAGAACCTTCTTATAGCCCCAAGGTTAGCTATAGCGTTCCAACTGGGGGATTACCACGTTCCTTTCATAGCCTTCCCCCATGGTAAAGTCCGGATTAAATTCATTGTTTTTTACTAGAAAAGTCGTTTCAGTGATGATTCCCCAAGCGTCCATGTATTCAGTAGTGGGATACTTAGGCTTGGCACTAGTAATTGTAGTACAGGGTTTAGGAAAGCATGTGATTATCAGGTAATTGGAGTCTTAGTGTCATGGAAGCACCGAAAATCTTTCCAGGTCTCACTTTGGACCCCTAAACCCTAAACCTTAAATTCAATGTATCCTTGAATTCTGAGCGCGAAGCCACATGCGGTAAGGTTTAGGTTCTACGTAGGGGTTTAGGATTAAGGTTTACCCAGACCCAATGTAGTTCCTTTTGGGTGGTATATTATCATCCCTTACCAAAAACATTTTTTTAAAAAAAACACCCAAAAGGAACTACATTGGAGCCCTTGTTTAGGGACCCCAGACCACGGCTACAGACATGACCTCTCAAAGAGAGCTGTCAGCAGCAGTCAAATGGTCCATGGGTTTCATGCCATTACATCCTAAGGCCCATCCACCTGCAAGGTTGTCCAAACAATTCAGCACCAAGCCCTAAACTGCACTGAGTGGGGCCCTTAATTACTGCAAGAGCTAAAGATTAACACCTTGATTGGTCAATTAAAGAGCAACCACCTCCATCTAGCAGTCCTTAATGGACCCGCGACGTGGCACCTCCCAAAGTTCCAAATCTACGGGACTTGTGGAGCAAGCCGGGGTGATCACATGGAGAGTCAGGATGAGGACTACGCCGATACAGTGTCCGATGAGGGATCTACCTGCAGTAGCTGCATAGACATCGACAAACTCATTTGTGTGGCGGAGTCTGCTCTTGATGATTCTGGCTTCATCCGGTCTGCAAAAGGCAGCAAAATGAGTACGCCAAGCTCGAGGTCTCTGATGCATCCAGAAGCCTACATTGTACCTTGCTCTAAGTGTACTTGGGACATTTTCCTGAGCCACAAGCAGTCGAATGCACAAGATGCCATGCAAAGTCTTCGCATGGCCCTCAGCGAGCGTATCTTACCTTTACACGGGGTAATCTTTGACTTGTTTTGGTGCCACGAACCCAAAACCAAAGATTTACTTTGGATAAGCACGATGCAGATGTCCGACACCTAGGCTGAACATTGCACACCCTATATTATAAACCCCTGTGTGATGCTCGTTGTTTCCATTTATATTTGTTTCTCCACTATTGTTTGGGGAATCTAAATCCAGCCCTAATACCTATCCTTGAATCGCCAACCCTACCCCCCAACCCTAGACCCTAATTCCTAAACCCTAATCGCCAACCCGAATCATGTAAATAACCCCCAATCCCAAAACCTAAGCCCGGAACCCCAAACCCTAATCACTAAAATCCCTAATCCTTAAACCCTAAACCCTAAAATCCCTAAACCCAAATCCCTAATCCCAAATCCTTTATCCCAAATCCCTAAACCCTCTCAGGCATGCCTTCCTCCAGCTTCTGGCTTGACATTGAGCAGGATCCCACGGTGCAGGGCATGTGTCACGGAGTCTTGTGCGGCTTAGAGTTCAGGGTTGAAGGTTTGGGTTGAGGGTTTTTTGGTGAAATTTTACTATACATGCTTTGGTGTGTAGGAGTCAGGGTTTAGGGGTCTTGGGTTTGGGAGTGGGTGTATTTCAGGCTGCAGGAGACAAAAATGAAACTTTTGAACTTTTAATGGTGGACTTGAGACCCACAAAGGTGTTAGCAATTCAAAAAACTTCTTGCTGTTTCTGACCACGGGCGTGACAGAGAGCAAGTTTTGCCACTCGACTGGCCTTAGCCTGACTCTTAAGACTTCCTTTTTTCGGGACTCCAACTAACTATATAGTCCCCCTTAAGTAGATAAAATGTAAGGTTTAGGGTTTAGGGTATAGAGTCCTCCTTAAGTAGATAGAATATGGCTTTGGGTATAGTATTAATAAGATCCCCATATATCTCATATTCTATCTACTTAATTGGGACTATAACCGTACTGGGGGTCTGTGGGGAGTATGGAATAGGTCATTCATGGGTTATATACCACTATTCCCACCACCACTAGGAATAGGGAGGCCAAAAGCTTAATTTGTAGGTACCCTCAAACTTTAAATCTTCCCTACATTCAGCTGAGGCATGATGGAGATGCGGTGGGCATTGCAAGCGCAGAAGAACATCATCTTGGTGTCTGAAACAGACGAGCGTCATGGCAAACCAGAGTTAGGCGAGCTGATCCAGAAATGTCCGGGCGATTTGAAGCATGTCTTCGAGGAGCATGTGATCATTCCATGGTTCCGGGATCCGGAAATTCGATCCGTGTGCGTCACGAAGATCCTGAAGAAATGTGTTTTCGAGGTGGATGCCGAGAGAACTTCAATAACCTCGAAGCTTCAACGGCCACTGATGTTTAGCAACAATGCAGAACTGATGAGTCTGGCTTCCTCGGAAGAGCAGGCAGTACAAGTGATCGACCAGAGCTTCGTGTTCTTCACCAGTTTTTGGGGAATCGCTTTGCCTGGTGCCAGTACCTGCACCCGTCGCTTCGCGGTTTTTGTCACCTTCCTGGTCCTAGCCTGCGGGGCGGTTTGCTTCAGCCGCATTTTTCATCAGCAAGGTCCCAACTGGTTGGATGCCATAGACATAGACCCTAAACCTTGGGTACTGCCCAGACTCAGTAACAATCTAAATTAGGGGTTAAGGGCTGTATAGAACCATATTCTAATAGTTATCCAGCTGTTACTGAGGGGGGGCAGTACCCTACCTAAACCCTAAACCCCTGACCCTTGACACCACGCCCTAAGTTCCTAAACCGTTAAACCGTTAAACCCCAGTTACTAAAGTCTTTAATCTTAATCGAGCCTCAGATACTAAACCCTAAACCATAATTATACCCAAGTTACTAAGCCCTACACCTTAGTTCACCCGCAGTCATTAAGAACTCTAAAAACTATAAATCTTACTGCAACTCCAGTTCCTAAATTAAAAAAACCTTAATTAAACCCATCCCCCCAAAAAAATAGGTCCCAGCTGGTTGGATGCCTGGACGTGGACGCAGAATGTTGTGGCTCATCCCGTGGTTTTCTTGCTTCTTCAGGCGCGGTTTAGGGTTTTTGGCGTCTTGCTGCGCGGCGGCTGGAGGTAGCGCGTAGAAATGGTCCCCCCCGACACCCAGGGGTGTGGGGGGTGGCATATCTTGGGACGGCACATCTCTCGTCCACAACAAACTCAGAATTGGTGTGTTGATCTATTCTTCCCACCCCCTGCTTACGCAGGCATCCACCCATACCTTTTGAGGTTTCGGGCTGACACCCTAAATGCCCCTTTTCTTTTTAATGTGTAATCCAACAACGGGCCCGCCACAAAAGGACCTCTCGGGGGCTGGGCCTCTCACGGGGTGGTCTCGGCGGCTGTCAGAACCCTCTTGGGAGCCTTTTAGGTTTTGGGGGGGTTTGGAAGCTTTTTGGCTGCCGCCTGGGGGCCTCCAGGCTTTCCGTTTTGGGGGCCGTTTTTGGACCAGAACACTGGATCGGCAGTGGGTTTCGCGTTCTCCAACCCTCACTGCCGAACAGCAAATTTTAGCTTTGTCGGAGCAGAAAAGGAGAAGGGGGCCCCAGGACCTACGTGCAGCTCACGCTCTACACAACTCTTTCGGCTTGCATAAGAGGGTGGGAATTATGGTTTAGGATTCCCTTCCCAGAAAAGGGTTGATGGGCTTAGGGTTTAGGGGACTCTGTGGTATTGAGCCTAGGAAGATGATAGTCTTTTGATGACATATGATGACATGCCACACCCAAAATGACGAGGTCATCTTACTCTATACTATACTGGGGCTATAGCTTTTTCTCGAAAAAATTGGTCGATCAATGAAGCAAGCGCTGGGCACCGATGGTTTCATAGTACCCCCGAAAGAAACACTGCTTAAGTACACTGTTTTCGGGCCTATGTACTCACAACTACGGACCTTGTGAGTAATTAAGTCTACTGGGATGGTCTGTGGCGCGGCTGACAGGCAACTGAGTCTGCAGGAGAAGGGAGGGGAGAGAGAGAGGGGGATGGCGCTGGGCCACGGAGTGCAACCCATACAAGCCCCTTCGGAATTCGTGTGACCTGTAGAAGTAGAAGGGGGACGACAGGAGGGGAGCTTGACGGGCAGTCGCTAACTCTTCCTTGCCGATTTTTCACCCTAAACCAAAATGGGGATTCGTGCTAAAGGGCTGTCTAAGGCTGAAACCATGGGCCCCTAGTATGGGCCCTTAACCCTAGTTTTCTATATACCAACTATATACTCTTTAGGAGTACGGGCCCATACTTCTTACGGTAGAGGCTGAGCACCGCATTTCGGGGTACATATTTGGTCATTCCCCCCTACAGTAACAGTTACCACAACAGGTAGTAAGAGTTAGAATAGCTCCTTAAAAACCCTTTCAGAACAGTTACTGTAAAGGGTAATGACCCAACTGATGTATGTATACATCTGTGGTATAGATATATGTGGTGCTTGAACCCTAAACCCAGGATTCTTGACCACCACATGGCGCTAGCGAGCCGGATGGAAACGTAAATCAAAAGCTTCAGGATGTAGGGCTGAGAGGGTTCAGGATCGCTTCCAGTACGAAGAACCAAATGCAGTAGAACATGGAAAATCAATTGGGTTGATATCGCAAGTATACTGAAGTTCTCGAAAAATTCTGTTGATTTTCTGCTACCTAACTCCTGCACGTCGGCCAACACTGCCATTTCTACCCAGGTTTCCAAGGAAATGGCAACTCACTTCCTCCTGAAACTCTTCTTCAGGTCAAGCTCCCAAAGCTGGATTCTGACCGAACGGATTTGATTTTTTATTTGGGGATACTGTGGTACCCAATAATATAGGGTTT